CTGCCTCCCAGGGCTGCCTCCCAGGGCTGCCTCCCAGGGCTGCCTCCCTCTTGACCTCCCAGGCCGTCCTCTCACTACTTGCCGTGTATAAGTAGTGAGGCTGGGGTCGCTCACCTCGGCTCTTACTATCCTGTCCACGATGGTCTCCAGTGTTTCCAGCTTATTGCACTTCACCACACCCTCAAAATACTGTGAGCGGTGCTGCAGGGCCTGGGTCACCGTGATGTCTAGGTTATTATATGTTTTCTCAGCAGCAAGATTCTGTAAGAGAGTTATAGGAAAAAAATTACACCCTTCATTTCCATTTGGATGAATGAGTGATCTGATTCTTAAAAACATTAGCATGGAATTTGGTATTAAGAGTTCGCTTCCCAGCTAGTATCATGCCCTCAGCATGTCTGTTTCAGTCATAACCGAGGCTATCACATTACTAGGTGTACCTTGATTATGGAGAAATGTAAGTGTGCTATGTTGGTAGTAAGGGGGTTTGAACCCAGGACCTCATGCAAACTAAGCAAGTGCTCTACCACTGGGAACTTTCCTAGCCTCTTTTTCTTTTCTTTTTTAGTTTTGAACCAGATCTCCCTAAGTTATTCAGGTTGGTCCTGAACTTATTCTGATATCCAGTCAGGTCTTGAACTTGCGATCCTCCTGCCTCAGACTCTTGAGTGGCTGGAACTACAGGCTTGTATCACTAGGCAGATAGATGTCATTTTATACATTTAAAAAGACTTTACATTTGTTTGCATGTGGACACACATGCATGTCTGTGTGTGTGTGTGTGTGTGTGTGTGTGTGTGTGTGGTGTTTACAGAGGCCAGAAGAAGAGGGAGTCGGATCCCTTGAAGTTGGAGTCTGGAGTTACAGGTATTTGTGAACCCTGTGACATGGGCTTTGGGAGTATCATGCACTCTTACGACTGAACCAACTCTCCAGCTCACATGTAAAATTCTGACAGTGTTTTCTGCCAGGCTCCTCCCCACTTTGGTCCTCTAGGGTTCTACACTACACATGAACAATGTCTCCTGAGAAACAAATTAAAACTTGTAAGGGTAAGATGTCTCAGAGGGAGGGCACCCACATCAGTGTTTCTCCATGAATTCTTAGTATTAGGGAGATGTGGGCAGTCAAGATCAAGAAGAGAACCACGAAACCCAGAAATCCATGGAGTCTCCCACAAGTCCCATCGATTTTAGTGGGTCCATTCATCCTAGGTTCTAATGAAAAGAGTTTTGGTATCTACTCCATTAAACAGAGCAGACTGAGCCGAAAGATTCGATTGAGACAGCTGCAAAACCGTACTTAATGGCAGGGTCAACACTGTGGAAACATGCGGTGTACACACGTCAGCTGTCAGATTCACCTCCCTTTCTCAGGCACAGTGTAAGACTCGGAGACCACACTAAAATGAGTGGGAAATAAAGTTTTAAAGATAATGATAGAGCATCGGTGAGAAACCTCACAGCCTCCAACCAAGGATTTGAGTAAAGAACCCTGCAGACGTAGCTCTCTTAGCCTATTGGCTGTCTTTAGCACGGCGTCTCCCGACCTGTGCAGGAGTATGCATTAACAAGGGACCCCACAGCAGAGCAGCCCCAGAAAGAAATGTGAGCGCTGTGATGCACGGTCTGTAGGGATGGATGCCGTGCACTCCCGTTAGGAAGCCCAGGAATGGTAAAACTTCAACACACACTCACACAGTTCATTGGCAGGTCAGTGAGTACTAGAAATATCGTCACTGTGAGGAGACTGACATTCTCTAAGGCTCCCCTCAAAAGGTCAGAAACTATTACATCAGGGAATAAAAGACTCAGTCTAATTTTGGTTTTCATTTGTTTGAAAATGCATTTGAATGACAGGTTTAGAAACATGAAAAAAAATACTTACAATTACATCAAACTTGGAATAAATATCTACAACTTTTCCTAAAAATGAAAACATATTGTTAGAAAAACATTTTAGCAACAAGACAGTAACTCATTAAAAAAAAATCAGTCTTAACTGGGTAACTACTGTGCATTAAACAGCGTTGAATAAAACACATGGGTCTATTTAGGACAGGAAACAGTGTCTTAATGGTGACAGGAAACTAAGTCTGCTGATCACTGGCTGTGGGAACTGTATCCCAGCATTCACTTCTCTGCCGTCTGCCCATTTCCCACTCCTGGCTAGGAGCAGGGTCCTAAGCTTTGCTGGGATGGCCTCACAGACCTGATTCATCCACCACAGGCAGAGCTGATATCCGTCTCTCCACAAAGATGTTCAAGGCTTTGATGATAGGAGTGTCCGGGTGAATGAAGGCAATATTGTGGTACGTTCCTATTCCAAGTTCATCCAGGTTCTGCTTCATGAAGGCAGGCTTTGGCATATCAGACATCTGAGCAAGAAGAGACATGAGAATGTTCTAGAACCCTAGCATACCCTTTCAATACTTAAACATCCAGATCTGAATGAAAAAAAAAAAAAACAAAACTATGTTCAGCGAATTAAAGGTACGCTTTCCTAACAGCCAGCTTGGTATCTCACTGTTGTCGGAGCTATACATCAGAATTGTCTCCCTCAAAGCAGCTGACAGCTCAGCGCGTATCCTTCTACAGAAAATGATTCCAAGAATTCATGTTTTCCCTTCTCTTCACACCAAACAAGTGGCTGGAAGATGGGAGCAACAGGCGTGTCTGGGAAATGAAGGCCTGAAAGCCGGCATGGCTTGAACCCTCTCTTCTTAGCGAGGTACACTCAGCCCTAGGACCTGAATGATGCTACGCCCTGTGTGTTTGCAGACCCCAGGGCCCACTGGCTGAGACTAAGCTGCTACTCCTTCCACCCCACCGCCACAGCCTGCACCTCTCCCCAGATGAACCCGATTTCTGACAGAAGTGAAGAGTAAGCTAGCTGAACACAGTGGAAGGAACCTTTGAAAATTAATGTTCCTTTTCTGACTGTTTCAAAGGAAGAAGGGTAAGTTTGAAGAGAGTCTAGGATCAGGCTGGACTACAACACAGTAAGGTCTACAGTTTCAAAGCTCCACCTTTTATAAAGGCCACAGCTGGCGCCATCCTCCTGGTGTACCTTACAATTATCAGGAAAAGATGAACAATTAGAAGAAACAAAATGTTCAAGTCAAAGAGTTCATCAATATTCAAATCATGAGATTCCTAGAAATTTAGAGAAAAAAAAGAGAGAGAGAGAGAAAGACCTATTAGGTCATCTAATCCATCTCAGTATAGGATATTTCCGCTTTAGACACCTACTTCTCAAATGTCTGGAAGGGTATCGCTACCCTTTCTCAGAATGATCCTGACAACTCAGTAAAAACCAGGCTCTGGTGTTTCATTATCTAAAATTCGTATTTTATCTGAGAACCTATGGCTGAATATTCTGGCTGCAAGGTTCTATCTGCCATAACCCCCGTCCTCTCCACAGACCAGAAGAGTGGCAACATGAAGCAATGACATCACCAACCGGACAGAGTACATAGGGACACCTCGTGCAAAGCTCCCAGGATAGTGCCTGCCAGTGGCCAACTGTCACAGATGGGCCCTAGGGGGCTGAGCTGCCACCCTGGCAGCTGTGGGTCCAGAGTACCTGCCCCTCCACCCCAAGCCCTTGGTTCCTACGATGTCTCAACATTCAAGGCTGCCACATTCCCCCATTACCGGCCGACGGATAAAACCCCAAACCCCTCGTTCTTTCTTCCTAAGTTGCCTATTAAATGTCATGGGCTTTTTGGCAAATTATTCTTCTCCTGATTTCTTAGCATTTATTTAATCAGGAAATGCAACTTGTCGTTGTATGTTCTAATAAACTATGTGACCAGTCAGATCAGTAATGCAACTCTCTAAACCCTTGACACCTCTGTAAGCCTTGCATCCGGAACAACTTAGGCCCTTCTGCGAACTTGCATGCCTAGGGGGAAGCTGCAGACAGGAAGTAGCTTTAAGTGTTTCTTATTTCCTTTAGAAAGAAAACTTAAAACGACCTTTCTGAACCAGCAACACTTCCACCAGTCTTGACTGGTGATGGGGGTGGGGCACGAAAGCACATTCCTGCTCCCATGGAGCCTCCTCTAACACTACCTGCCTCAGAGGCAGTGAACACAAACCACAGATGTGCAATACGGTCTATCTTTTGCTTATACCTGACTTGCCTTGGGATTCTCTGGCTGCTGCTGCAGATGAGAATGAGACAACCCCTGGGATGCTGTTGTTTTGCTTATGTTTCTAGAACCATGGTTTCAACAAACACACTACGAAGCAACTGCTGCCCTAAGCCCTGGCTCTGCCCATCTGGTACAGTAGAACTCAATGAAACTGCCTTAGAAACTCCTTTAGCCACCCATGCACAAGAGACACCCATCTTTAGGGGGCACACACCATTTTTATTACTTTAACACTTGGACTAAAAGATTACATCATTTAAGCCGGCGTCAACTTGGAGAACACACAGTTGAGAAACTGAAATGTTGCAAAAAGAACACCATGGAACTAACGGTTTCTTCTACCGAGAGGGACAAGAGCCCATTTACTTGATGTAAGTGACAGTCAGTGCAACTGCATCTTTAGGGACTACTTACAAAAAGCTGGAGGAACTTGAGGATTCTTTTGTGGGTAAGTATATAAAGTGCATTCCCACTGATAGGGTCAATAACTGGCAATCTGTGGATTTTATTTTTGATCAACGAGTATACAGCATCGAAGAGGCTGCGGGAAAAGCCATTAGAGTCATTAGGAGGCTTTCAAGAAAAATCAGAACGACTTCGGACCACCCCTGCTTTCCAGTATTTCCACTGCTTTTATACTACCATACGAGGAGGCTCATCAGCTTAAAACAGTCACGGCAAAGCTTTACGTGGGAACTCTCCGCCCATCTGTTGATACATCTCAAACTCAAGAGGGAAACTCAGATCTCAAGCAAGACAAGTTGGTAACAGTGTGTCCAGGGATTTTGTTTGGAAGAGGCAAAGCCTTCTGGAAAGCTAGCAGTGACCTTAGCACTGAGGCTGGGCACTGGACTCCCAGGGTGTCTGCCTGCCCCGCCAGCCCACCTTGGGGAACTGCCCTGTGTCCTCATTGCTCCTGCCATTGTCTGCAAGAAGCCCATGGGGTGTATCTTCCCCTATGATCTTGCGATAGATGACAAAACCAAGTGTCTTCTCTTTTGGGCTTTATAAATGTCTCCTACACTGTCCATCTTGTGCTGAGGGGCGGGGTCCAGCACCTGTTCCACTGACAGGCTGTGCCTGAATCCTGCTTCACCCTTCCTGCTCCTTCTAGGATGCCTCTGTCTGGATTGAAAGCACCCTGGGAATGTTTCGCTGCTACTCCAAGGATCCAGCCTCTCAGACAAATGCTGGGGTCAGGAGGGAAGCCCCAAATTTGGTAACTATAACAGGATCCTTCTACTGATGCTGCCTCAGGAGAGCTGGGTGTTTGAAACTGGCCTGGATGATCGACCTCATGGCCCATTTCCAATCACTTGGATCCACATGGTTGCTCCACACCCTCATTCTCCTTCCTCTCTCAAGTCTTGCTAAGCTGTCCAGGACAGCCTTGTACTTGCTACGCATATAGTCCAGGCTGGCCTCAAACAAGCAATCCTCCTATGCCGGCCTCCCCCGAGTGCTAGGATTCCACCATGTCTGGCTTTGTTGTGATTTCCAACATCTCTCAACTTTTGGCATACTACTTGGATTGAGGAGGCTGGCCGTATCTAGCCTGAGGGACCTGTCTGTCTACTTCTAGTTACCCATCAAGGCAATAAAACACCTACATTGCAAAGAATGCTTTCAAAGGGGGAGGAGAAGCTTCCATGTTTACCTTGCATCTGGAGAGATATTCACCAAAGGCTTGAAGGTTTCTTGTAAGTACAACTCTGCATTTGTAGAAGGAAAACATAGTTAGTTACAGATCTGCTGTGCATAATGCTACAGTTTACAGGAAATAACTAGACAAACTAAAAACCCAAATAAAAGATGATTTACCCTAAACTAAGGTTCCAGTCAAGGTTATTTTAAGCAGCCTCAACTGTTTTCAGGACATTGTCTTTGGAGAAAAATCAAATATAGGAAAAAAAATCCCGATATTTCCAAAGATGTTGATAACATCAGGAAAAGGTCTGATGTGGAGCAATAGTAGCAGAGGCCACTGGGTCCTATCAAGTCCACGCTGCTCTCAAGAAATGAAATGTTTACAGAATCCTTTAGGGCAGATGCTCATAAACTGGGAGATAGCATCACTCTAAGCAATGGTGTTCTTCAAATGATCTATGATCACTTTATTTCACTAAACTGATGCTCAAAACCCAGGGCATGTTGGGAATCTTGCTGACATATGCACATTTTCTTTGTAAAGAAATCAACCGTAATTAATTTGTTTTGCTGAGGTCTGCACACAGAAAGTATCTAAGACCATCCTGGTATATCCCACCTTCAAACACCCCAGTAGGTAGAAGGGTAAACACATCTAAACCAATGGGACGTATACGGCAGAATTTGCTGAGAAGTGCCTGTCCTAGTATTGTTAATCATGTCACTGACAGGCCATCTGGATGCCACGGTGACTGGTGACTTAATTCATTTAGCCTGCCTTGATAAAGCCATGCTCAATAAAACACATCCCTTGGCAAGATTTCAAAATCATGTGAAATTAAAAGGGCCTGCAGAGGTCTGGAGAATGCGAGAGGAGGCTATGCTTTCCCAGCTACCTTTGAAGACTGGTCAGCCTGTCAAGCACAGACTCCTAACACCCGGCTAAAAATGTCCTGCAGTTGGCCCCCTGCTTCTACCCAGGCTTTCCCTTGAGCACTGGGCCAGGGCCCTTATGCTCCGACCAGTCTGGTCCTCTGAGCCATCCCATGTTCTGCCCTGCCCACTGTGAGTCTTTGAGATGATAACCTTCCCACCCAGGAACTGGTCCCACTGTAGGTAAAACTAACATGACTGTAAAGAGTGGATTTTGGTGAGTCAAACAGAGTTCTTTTGTATGTACGAGCGTATGTATTTGAGCGTATATATCTGAGCGTATGTATATTTCTTGGGGGGGGGCAGAGATTACCTCAGAAAGCTCTTCATCATGTTTTCTGAGACAGAGTCTCTCACTTGCTCTGGCCTTGCTGATTCAATCAGACTGGCTGACCAGTGAGGCCCCAGAGAGTCACCTGTCACTGTCTCCAGGGCTGGCAAGTGCACATTCCCATGCCTGGCTCTTTCGCATGGACTCGGGGACTGAGCTCAGGTTCTCAGGCTTGCTCTTCCCATACTATCTCCCCCGCCCACAAGTTCCTGAAATGATTTCCTTGTCACTCGGTCTGAACCGTTCGGCTGGAATTTTTCTTTCTGGTTTTGCTGAATTGGTAAAAGAGTAATTCAGCTTAATCAGAGCAGAAGCTAGCTCTCCCCACACGTGGGCTACGGTGACCAGGTATCTGAGGGTGATACTCGGTGGTCAGATCTCTACAGTTCCAGGCCTAGTGTAAGGCTACACACATGTGACAACGTGCACAGTTAGTAGCGAAGACCTCAAAATGAAAAAGAAACAGAGTGTTTTAACTAGCAGGTTGTAATTAAGTGCAGGAAGTGACCCGAGACATCAGCATGCTTTTCACATAACATTTCTCAGATATTGAAGGTTTAAACCTGGCAGTGCTTACCCCTCCACGTCTCAATCTTATGTTCCTCTAATTCATAAATCTGTACCTGCAAATGAGAAAAATCAATCTACACGTGTTACCACCCACAACAGCAGGCAGCTACGCTCCTGCCCGTCTGCTTCTAACTGTATCCCCAAGTGCCAAAAAAGAGCTTTAGCTTGTTTATCTACTTATTGGCTTTTTTTCCAATTTTTTTTAATTTAATAAGCAACCACAGAGATCTGCTATATGGCATCTGCTGTTCTTTATCACATATCTCACACAGAATATTTAAAGTCTGATAGAACTTCCTTTCTCTAAGTAGGATAATTTAGTAAGCAGATAAAAGTAACAGGTTTCATGGTGGCATTTCTGTTTTTGTACGCCATGTTTCTCAACATATCATCCACAGTCACCCTCGCATCTCTGTCCCCCCAGTTGTCCCCTCCTTCCCGCAGACGGTCCCTCCTCCTGCTTTTACGTCATATGCAAATCCTTTATCTCTCTTATTCCCTACTCCTGTCCCCTAAGGCCCCTTCCTCCCCCTCACAGTCCACTTTCTACTTTCGTACCCTACATAGAAAGACCTTCCTTCTAGCGTTTTCTTCACAAAGAAACCCATTTTTGTATTTTATGTGGGAATCACAGCCCTGTGCCAACTCAGTGACAGTCTGATCAAATGATGGATCACAAACTTGACTTTCAGAAGCAATAAATGTTGTGACCATCTCCGTCTGAGTAGAAACATTTGCTGTTTTTACACAATGGGGTCAACTGAGGACACACTTCTCAGAAGATGCTCCCTTGTTGAATAACGCCTATTAGTGACAACTGACCGCCACCTTAAAAACCCACCGGCTGGAGTACCGGCTGTCTTTTAGGTGCCCTGATAGCAGAAAAAGTTAAATCAAACCTATAACTGTTCTCCCCGCTGCAGCAGACAAAACCAGACCAAGCGGTGTTTGACACGGGCAGACTGGTTTCAATCCAAACTGCCCTACTAGAGCATCTGGGCTAGGTGCCAGGCCGTCTGGCACCAACGGCATCCACAATTTCCCAACTTGGCAGGAAAGAGTCAGAACTGAATTTCTTCAGTTTTGATTTGTACGTCTTTCCTAGTTTCCTTATAATGGCTATAAAACCATGAAGGAGGGGCCGGGGTTAGCTCAGTGGTGGAGCATTGCCCAGCAAGCTCAATGCCCTGGGTTTCCCCTCAGAACTGAAATAAGTAAGAAAAATAAATCCTGAATGGGTGATAAGCAACTCTTAAACTCCACACCTAACAACAGGCCTGCAAAAAGAAAGTCCCGTGGCCACTTAATCTCCAGGGTGAGGCCGGAAGGCCAACCACTAAGAGGAAGTGGGGGTAGGCACCGCCCGTCCTGGTCCTAGCAGACACCACACGGGGTTAGTCATCGAGCAGTAGGAATTTACACATGTCAGGGCCGTAAATCAGAATGGATAATTCAGTAATCTGAATAAAACAGTTATTATTCCCTTTTCCCTCTAGTACCTTCTTTGAACTTCAATTAAATGACATGAGGCCAAGCTCACTGTTTACTTGGGTTGGAAGTCTTACAGTTAAGTTCCTTATCTATTATACATACTGGGAAATCCACCCCATCCTAAACACACACACTGTGAGGTCTATGTCACTTACCATAGGTGATTTGTAGTATCTGTGCAGTATATTTATGAAGTCTGTAATAGTGAGCATTCCTGGAACAAAGAATCACAGGTTAAAAGCAAAACTAAGGGATTGGAAAGATGGCACCGTGATTAAAGCATTTGCCACAGAAGTGTGAGGACAGGAGTCTGGGTCCTCAGAATCACTGGTCAGTGTGGTGGCCCACTTGGAATTTCAGTTTTAGAAGGCGAAGTCAGGGGATCCCCAAGAGCTGGCTGGTGAAACTAGGCATACTCGCAAGCTCTGGGCTTGATTGAGAGCCTCTGCCTCAAAGAATGAAGTGGATAATAATGGAGTATGATTCCTGACATCAATCTTGGGCCTCCATATGCATGCAAGTACATGTGACTGCACACACACAAATGCACAGCATATACACACATATGAAAAAAGATGGCAAAAAGACACAAGGAAAGGAAGCTTCTAGTGGCAAGTGAATCTGCAACCTAGAAATGCAAACCGAAGCCTGATGGACAGTAGGGAGTCTGTTTGGCAGATGAATGGAGGGCTCGCAAACACTCATAAAATAGCACAAAGAATCGTAGCTGCATGTGAATGGGTTTCAGCAGTAGATGCAGAAGTCCCCTGCATCAGAGGGCACCCAGACCTCCTGAGAAGCATTCTGAACATAAGGGGTTTAGTAAAGAGTCGCCACCCACTGAAGGCCTACTATGTGCTGGGGTCTAGACTTGTGAAGGTGACAAGAAGGAGTGCTTTCCACTGCACATTACAGGACCCGGGCGCTGGGGGCGCACGCCTTTAATCCCAGCACTCAGGGTGCAGAGACACACCTTTTCCCCTGCAGTGCTAGGGTCATGACCAAAGCCCCACACATCCTAAAGCAGGTCTTCTAACACTGAACAACACTTGTAACTCCTGGCTGTTCTAAACAAGGTCTTGTTTAAGATGGAAGTTGCAATCCTCCTGCCTCTGCATCCCGAATGCTGGGATTACAGGCACGTATTGCCATATCCAGGGCTTATCCAGCATTTCTGACAGCTTAATGATTTAGCAGACATTGATTATATTCACATTCTGACGCTTGCTGTCATTTACAATGAGGAGCAGTGACTGAACAGGGCCAGCACACGGCCCGGAGCAAGTGCCCTGAACTCATCAGATCGCATCTGTGGTGACGTTTTCCCCTCACCTGATAAAGACACATCTCTTTCAGAGGGTTCAGAAATTGCTAAATTAAAAAAACTTCCTCACCCCCCAAAACACAAACACCTGAAAAGCAAAAAAGACTGCAGTAAGGCCACAACAATGACTTCAATTCACCACTGGTCCGGCTCAGTATGCAAAAGCCAGGATGTTCTTCAATTTGAAAATGTCTATCAGGCTAAACTAGTGGGGTTGGGATATAAAGCAGCCTGCAGGGATAGGAGGTCCCTTCCCAGACAGCCCTGTCACTCTGCAGGGATAGGGGGTCCCTTCCCAGACAGTTCTGTCACTGCAGGGATAGGGGGTCCCTTCCCAGACAGCCCTGTCACTGCAGGGATAGGAGGTCCCTTCCCAGACAGCCCTGTCACTGCAGGGATAGGCGATCCTTTCCCAGACAGTCCTGTCACTGCAGGGATAGGGGGTCCCTTCCCAGACAGCCCTGTCACTGTAGGGAGAGGAGGTCCCTTCCCAGACAGCCTTCCCCAGCCTGCCACTCACCTACAAAGCTCTGCTTTTTACTTTCCCACAGAGGTGCTGCTCGGACTCCGTTGGCTACTAAGGCAAAGAAGGCCTTTTTAACCTGGAGAGAAACCAGAAACAAAACATCCTTTTAAAAATCTACATTTCAGGAAGAAAATAGTCTCAACCAAGGTTTCCACCAAATCTTGCCAGCAATTATCAATGTACGTTTGATAGGCTACAAAAAAAAATGTTAGCAAAATGTATTTTTATAGCCTATTTAAAGGTATTTAGATGTGTCTAACCTTTTGACATTGTGACATGACATTGTCATCTTCACAAAGCTCACATCTAGAGTAGTGCTGTAGTTCTGTGGTTTTTATCCTTCTGTCTCTTTGGGGGCCTGCCACCCACCTCCCAAATAAATCACACAGAGGCTTATTCTTACCTATGAATGCCTGGCCTTAGCTTGGCTTGTTTCTAGCCAGTTTTTCTTAACTTACATTATCCTGTCTTTCTTTTACCTCTGAGCTATTACATTTCTCTATTTCTCTATATCTTTTCTTCTTATCCCATAGCTGACTGGGTGGCTGGCCCCTTCTTTTCTCGCTCCTTGATCTTCTTTTTCCATATTTCTTCTCCTACTTATTCTCTCTGCCTGGCAGCTCTAACTAGCCTTTCCCCTGCTTCGCTATTGGCCAGCCAGCTCTTTTTTAGGTCAGGTGTTTTTGAGAGGCAAAGTAACAAACACAGCTTCGTAGAGTTAAACAAATGCAACAAAAAAGAATGTAACACATCTTTGCATCATTAAACCAACATTTCTCAGCATAAACAAATGTAACCCATTTTAAATTAATATTCTATAACACAGTATAATCAAATTACAAAAAAAAAATCACAAAAATCCTCGTATTTTTCTTTTGTAGGTGTATGTACATGTGTGTAGTGCAGGCATGCACGAGTGTGGGCACATGTCTGAAGGTCAGAAGACAACTTCATGTGTTGGGGCTGATCCTGGCCTTCCACTTTTTGGTTTGGGGCAGGTGTCTTCTTTATGGCCGGCTGCTACACACACACTGGACTAGCTGACTGACAGGCTTCCACAGATCCTCCTTCTGTGCTTCCCACCTCACTATGGGAGCAACAGATCACAGACACATACTACTAAGGCCAGCTTTTTACATGGGTCCTGGGGATTTGAACTCAGGTCCCTCAAACTTGTGGAAAATCCTCATAAGATTTAAAGTAAATTTACAATTTTGTGTTCAGCTACATTCAGAGCAACATACTCTGGGTTGCACGTGGCCTGTGGGAAGCAGGCTGATCATACCTGGTAGAGGCAGTGGGGATTATTTTTTAGAAACTGAAAGACATTAACTTCAATTTTTTTCCTTTGCTGTAACTAAGTATTCTTGCATACACAGATTTTCTATAATTAAAATCATCCAAAATAATTAAATATCAGCTTAATTTTTTCAATGTGTGATTGATGATTAACTTGAAACAGTTATACTGGATTATTTCAAATGATAATTAGTCATTATACTAGAAATCACAACAAATAACATGTTTTCCCATCCCCCCTCAAAGATGAGCAAGACAGACAAACAGCTACAGCTGCACTTTACAGAACTAGGGACAAACATGGCTTGGCGCCGTGACAGCACAGGCGCCGTGCAGGGTGTTAACACACAGCCCTCGACTCTAACACACATCCTTAGGAATACTGTAAGGTGCCATACTTGATTTATTAAGAGCCAAATGCTCAGGGCTGAAAGCAATCCTCGACGCAGCAAATGCGAACAGGAAAAGCACTCTATGATCATTAATAACTCAAGAAATACAAATGCAACATTAAAACATTATTCAGGGCTGCTGCTCTAGTGTGGACCCTGGAGTGGTTCCCAAGCGTCTGTGTGGAAGGAAGCTAGGCCACTGGGGAGTCGCCCTGAAGAGGGCATTGGGACCCTATGTCTCTTCTTTCTTTTTTTGAAATAGGGTCTCCCTGTGCAGCCTACGCTGGTCTGGAACTTGTGGCTGTCTGCCTCAGGCTCTTCTGGGTTTTAGGATTCCAGGCAGTTCTCCATTCTGGATCCTTCCCTTTCTCTTCTGTCTCTTTGCTTCCCACCACGGGGTGAACAGGCCTCCTCCACCATCTGCTCTCCCATGATGCACCACGCTGCCACAGTCCCAACCTAACCAGGAAGAGTGACAGTGGGTGGCAACCTGGGGAACTGCCATACCAAGCTCTTCCCTTGGAAGTTGTTTATCTGGAGTACTCTGTCTCAGCTAAACAAACATATGCTTTTAAGTCTTATCTAACATGAGAATTATTATTTTTTTTTACTACATTCATTTGTTGTGTGTGTATGGGGACAGCTCACGCCATGTGCACGTGTGGAGGTCAGAGAGGACAGCTGTGGCAGTCAGGTCTCTTCTACCTCGAAACCTGAGGATCGAACTCTGGATGCTGGGCTCGGTAGCAAGCACCTTGCTGGCCCCCACCAGCACTATTGTAAGTGATGTGCTTGTGCTGACCAGTTTTACATCAACTTGACACAAGCCAAAAAGTATCCGAGAGATGAGAACCTCAAGAAAATGCCTCCATAAGAACAGGGTCGAGGACCGGCCTTGACCAAAACACTTCTTACCAGGGTAGGGGCGTGAGAATTGAAGAAATAGAAGTAAAGAATACAAAGACACATAAAAATAATAAGACAGAAAACAGAAAGTATTGGGAGGGCATTCCTCTGAATGAAACTGAAATCCTAAAATTCACCTGTGTTTATTTTTTCACAACTTTTATACCCAACGTAAGTGGGGAGGGGGAGAAGGTAACAAAAGACTTTACTAACATAGGATAACTCACACAGTCAATGGCTTTATCACTCTGAGACATCAAATCATCAGCATTCGGCTGTCTAGGTAGCGAAGCTGCTCTAGGTCACATGTTCTGAAGACCGCCCTTCCCCAGGTGATCTCATAGTTACAAAAGGAGCAGAAGTGCGTTTGCACATCCTGACCACCTGTCAGGATGGCATGACGCTATCTTAACTTCAATAGAACCGAGCTGTCACATCCTGAGTTGGGCCGTGTAACTACGCTTGTCAATCTCCAAACTCTCTGACCATCAGACAAGGTGGGAATGGGCCTGCATACAGAACGGGCTGTAGGCAAGCCTGTGGGAAACTTCCTTAATTCCATTGTAGGTAGTGCCATCCTAGGCTGGTGGTCCCAGGTTCTTCAGGAAAGCATGTGGAGAAAGCCAGCAAGTGCCGCCCCTCCAGGGTCTCTGCATCAGCTCCTGCCTCCAGGTTCCTGCCCTCACTGCGCTCAGTGATGGACTGTTACAGAGAGCTGTGAGAAACCAACCCGTTCCTCCCCAAGCTGCTTTGGTCACGGTGTTTCAGCACAGCAATGGTCACCCTCAGACAGTGTTTAAGCACAGCTCATATCAGGAATCACAAAACCACCCCTACCGTTGGCTCTTTAGCTTGTTTCTACTGGATTATTTGGGGAGTGGGATTCCCTGAACTAAAGATGTTCAATGTGGTATTATATTTGACATTAAAAACTGGGAAAACACTCACCCAGCAGAAGAAAACTATGAAAGTGGGAGCCTAATTTTTTAAAAAATATTTTATGTATGTATGTGCATTGCAGGTGTGCAGTACCCATGGAGATCAGAAGGGTTTTGGCTCTCTTGGAACTGGAACTGCAGGTGGTTGTGAGCTGCCATGTGGGTGCTGGGAATCGAACCTGGATCCTGCAAGTGTGCTTAACCACTGAGCCTGGTTTAAGTCAATGGTCACATATTTTGACTACTCAAAAGCATGAAGAAATTCTTGCTTTCTTATGATGACTTCTCTGATCAATCTGTCTAGTACCCCCTCCTTATGTACTTCAGTTACAAGTGTCCCCAGGTCCTGAAATTAGTCACTGACGAGGAAACCAAATATCATTAGTTCATGTTTGTGTTAAAGCCAGGGTTTTGAAGTCCTGGCTCATCTTGAACTTCTGATCCTCCTGTCTCAACCTGGCAAGTGCTGGGATCACAAGCATGCACAAACCACACTTGGCTCAAGCACTGTTTTTTTTTGTGTGTGTGCGTGCATGGATGTGCCATGAACGCATGAGAGGCTCCATTCACGCTGCTGGGGGAGTCCACTCCTTTTCCTTTCCTTGTTATCGGGTCTGTTCTCCACATGGCCTCCAACATCACAAAGGGTCTGGTGATCTCTACCCTCTCTTACTGTATCAGGATGTGATCATCTGTGGTGTGGCCATGTGGATAACACAGACAAGAATAATGGGCTAATATACATTTATGAGAGTTAATAAGAAGCCTGAGCTAATGGGCCAATCAGTTTATAGTTAATGTAGACCTCTGTGTGATTTCTTTGGGACTTAACACTTGTGGAAACCGGGCAGGACAGAAACTCAGACAACACATCCGGGCAGGAATCAGACTCAGATTTGTTCAGAGATAACATTTTACAGTCTCTAAATGATTTTCCTCTAATTGTTACTCATTTCACCCTTTCCAGCTCACAATCATTTCCCCTGAGAAGAGATGGTCTTGCCATGTAGACCAGGCTGGACTGAACTTACAACAATTCTCCTGCCTCTGTCTCCTAAGTGCTGGGACTACAGGTTTGACCACTGCATTCTGGAATCTTGGCTTTTCTCTTGGTCTCTCACAGCTGGCTTACCACTGTGCAAGAGTCATCTTCCTTTGCTGGGAATCCCGTCACAAGCTTTCTTGGGTGAACACGACACAGGCTTCCCTCTTCTCAAGACAGTCCTGGTCAGCCTTGCCACCTTTTTGCTGGGGACAGGTTTCACCATGCCCCACAGCTGGGAATAGCATACACACAGAAAGAACTGTAACATCTTGCTATCTTACATCTGCAGAAACGTGGAAAAAATGTGTGAGAACAGGCCAAAAAGCAATTTAACACTCAACCAGTGGAGCGGATTGCTACCGGTGGACTCATTTAATGCTTGGCCTGTGCAGCTAGGAGAGGCTCTAGCCTCGGTGGCTAAACTCAGGGCACGTTAAGGCCATGTGAAGGGAGGTTCTGATACTGCTACTTCTACAGAACAATTAAGACAGGAACA